CTGAAAAAAAATTTTTTTTTAAGTAGATTAAAGCTAGATGACCATTGTCTTCTGGCTTGAAAAGTTTCATTTGAGAAGTCCTTAGTCACCTTTATGGACTTTCCCCTGTAGGTTCATTGGCATTTTTCCTGGTAGGTTGCAGAATCTTCTCTTTCATCTTGAGTTTGGATGGGTTCATGAAAATGTGTCTTGGAGAAGCTCAATTTGAGTTGACGTGACACAAGACCTCACCTCCACCAAATAGAGAAGAAAATAAAAATACTATAAATCAAATCAAAATAAAGAAATAAAAAACTTGAGGGATAAAATTAGGGGAAAAACGATGAACAGTGGCTGAAAAACTAGCAAAAATGAAACCCTTATAATTAAGTAATGCAAAAATGAAACATTATAATACATGAGAAAAAATGAAGAAAAGAATCTGGTGGGAAAAAAAGGTACACAAATTAAAAAAATGTATTTTTTCATACATATATAATATATGTATATATATAATATATATGTATGCGGATATAGATATATAGATATATATTGTTGAATATTGCCTGGGCAATAGGTAATCTTCTGGGTTGGGAGACGGTAATCACAATACTGATACAAGTGTATAAGCTGGAGACTGGAAGCCTCTGCTGACTTCTTTGTCCTTAAACCCCACAGGATTGGGAGCCTGAAGCTCTCCTCATAGTGCTTAATAGATATGCCTTGACCTTTCCAAACTGTGTATCCTTGTTGGGTAGTGGCTTTCCCAGGAAAGCGTGTGTCACTCAGGTCTCTCCAGGTGTGGCTGTCTGCTTATCAGGCACGCCAAAACTGGCCTTGGTCTAGGACCCTGAGGGCCGAATCTGCAAGGCATCTCTCCCACAATCGCTGCACCCAGCCTGCAGCTGAACAATAAAAGCTCTGCTGTGCCCCAATGGCTTAGTCCTGGCACTGTTTAAAGTCATTTTTTTACTCACCCAAGCTCTCCCAATGTAATCAAAACCAATTTCCCATGTCCGAAACAACAACAACAACAACAACCTGCAGGGAAGGCCTTCCCTGTCTGCAAACTCTCCCTGCTGCTGCTGCTGCAGCTGCCACAGTCTGGCCCTCTGCCTGAATGCAAGTACTTGCTGCTTCTCCACTGCTTTCATCCTCCGCTTTGCATTCTGAAGTCTCCTGCTGCCTCCCCATGCCCCAGAACGGATGTTTCTGGGCAGAGCCCACAATCCAGAGGTGCCTGGATTCTATCCCTAATCTCACTATGCCTGGCTGCAAATAAGCTGTCTCCAGTTTGCCATTTTACTCCCCCTTCTCATCTCTGTCTTTTAATTGACAATATTAGACCATTTGCATTTAAGGTATTATTGATATGCTAAGCCTTAATATTACTGTTGTTTTCTGTTTGTTCCTTCCATTTCTCATTCTCCTGTTTTGCTTTTCTTACCTTCCTGTGTGATACTTGAACACTTTTCAGCATTCCAATTCGATTTGATTTAGTTCTAGTGTTTTTGAGCATTTTGCTTAGCAGTTTTCTTAATGATTACTTACTCTAAGTATTAAACTATGCATGTGTAACTTATTACAGTCTATTGGTATTAATGTTTTGCCACTTTGAGTAAAGTTTAGATACTTTACTTCAATTTAGGTACCTTTGTTTTCCTCAGTTTTAAAATATGACCATCTTAAGTATTTCCTCTCTATGTATTGAGTGCTACATCAGTTGGGGTTAATATTTTTGCTTCTTTAAGGAAAATGATAGTCAATTATATTTATCCCCATTTTTGCCCGTTCCAATTATTTCTTTTCTGAAGTTCCAAACCTTCTTCTCTTATTTACTGTTTGTGTAGAGAATTTTCATTAGCTATTTTTAAAAGGTAGGCTTGATGGTAACAAATTTTTTTAGTTTTCTTTCATTAGAGAATGCATTTATTTCTTCTTCATTCCTGAAGGATAATTTTGCTGCATATGGATATTTTCAGTACTTAAAAATGTGCCACTGTTTTTCTTGCCTCCATGGTTTCAGATGAGATATTCACTATCATTTGAATTGATGTTCTTCTATAAGATGAGATATTCACTATCATTTGAATTGATGTTCTTCTATAAGTAATGCATCATTTCTTTCTGGGTGCTTTAAAGATTTTTTTCTTTGATTTTTTTTCCTAGAATTTGATAATGATTTGTAGAGCATATTTCTTGGGTTAATTGTATTATAGGATTACTTAACTTCTTTAATCTCTTGTTATTTTTTACCTCAAATTGGAAAGTATTCACTATTTCATTATGTACTTTTCAGTCTCACTCTTTATCTTCTCTGTTTCTATAATTATGACTTTAATTGTATGAATATTATCTCTTTTGTTATTGTTTCATATCTGCCTGAGACTCTGTTCATATTAATTATTTCTAAATCCTCTTTGGTGATCAGGTTGGGTAAATTCTAGTAATCTGTCCTCAAGTTCACTGATTATAATCTTCTGTAATCTCTAATACTGAGCCTTTCCAGAGATTTTTTTATTTTGGCTGTTGTATTTTTCAGTTCTATGATTTCTATTTGGGTCTTTTCTATGACTTATTTGTTGATTTTTTTTTCTTATTTTTAAAATTGGTTTCATGATAACTCATAGTTGCTTGTTGAAGTATTTTCTTGATGGATGCTTAAAATCCTCGTCAGGTAATTCAAAGCTCTGATTTATCTCACAGTGTGCTATTTATTTATTTATTTTGTCATTCAAGTTGTTATTTTACTGGTTCTTTTTATAACAAATGATTCCTTATTTATTTTGGGCATTTTGAATATTATGAAATTCTGATCATATTTAACTAATTTTTATTATTCAATATCTTTCTAGAAATATAGCAAAAGGGTTGAAAGGAACAGAAATTCAGTTCCTGTCTAGACTCTACTAGCAACTTCTCAGAAAAAGTAGGACAACTATTTGTGCTGAATCATTGCCTCTGAGTGGGAGTATAAGGTCAGCTCCCTACTTGGTCCTTCTGATACCATGGAGGGAGTAGCAGAAAAATGATCCATATTTCTTTGTTCATATATGGTGGAGTGAAAGCATAGCCCCAAGGTGGATATTGTTGACACCTGGAGATGAGTATGATGGTAGTAGGTGTGCCAAGTAGCATAGCTTCCCTATACCTGGATCTGCCTTGTTGATACTGAGTAGGGGTGAAAGCTGAGCTCTTCATTGAACCTTATTGACACCAGATGGCAGGGAGGTGGTGGGGAACTTCAGTACTGACTATAACTGCTTCTTATATCCTCCTTCAATCTCATTGCTGATAAGGGGATATGGAGGTCTGCCCTTCATCAGCCTCACTGACACAAGGGTAGGAGGAAAGAGAAGTGTGGACCAGCTTGAATCACATCATGTTGTTCAGTCTTTTGCTACTCTGTGTGGGTAGAGGCTTAGCTTGCCAATAAACACCACTTCTGCATGCAATTAGAATGCTACTACTTGTTTCTATCAGAGATGTATAGAAGATCATCAGGTCCCTGCTTGGACACACTGTCACTAGTCTTCAGGGGAACGGGAGCAGAGAACCACCTGCTTTTGCCAAGCAGTGGATGAAAGTTTAACATCCTGGTAAGCCCTGACAAAACCATTGCATGGGGAAATTGGAGTGTGTTTTTTGCTTCTAGGGTGGATTGGATGGCTGGTCAGCTTTCTGCTTAGTCTGTTGAATCCCAAGATCTGGGAAAAAGAAGGGGTGTTTATGCTTTTTCCATTAATGTTTGGATAGAATAAAGCAAGTATTGCTAAGGAGGTTTTCTGTTGTTAGGCTACCCTTTTTTCTGGTCACTTTGGTGAAGGTAACAAAGTTTTTTTTTTTTTTTTTTTGGAATTTTTTTTTTCACTGTCCATCTCTGTTGGTAATTCTGAGTTGGAGGCTTCTTTAGCATCTCCTTTCCAGGGTTTATGTGAGGTAATTAGGAAAGACAAAGGGCTCACTACCGCATTTTTCTTTAAGTTGTCAGTTCTCTAGGAAGTTTGCTGCCTTCTATCTCCTTTCAGAGACTTCTTATGCTTATTTGTGGTGTTATATCTCGTAATTTTTAGTTGTAAGAAGGAGAATCTGGGAGTAAAGAGGCTACTACATTTTGGCAAGAACATATTCCATTGGTTTTTATCTCCCTAATATCTTTTAAAACCACTAATATCTCAGCATTCCCACTTCCATAGCTTGAATGTTCATAACCTCATCACCTATATTTTGAACTATTGCAATGACCTCTTAACTAAAAAATACTTATTGTGAGAGAATTTTTTACAATACAAAAAACAGGAATACTCCCCAAAATCTGAAAAAGGAAATAAAAGTTCCTTAAAGGAAATCTGGGGGATGGAGCTTAGATGCCTAGTATTAGGGATCAAGTTATGAGTTTTACAATTCTAGAAATCCAGAAGAGGAAGAGATCACTTCAAACTATGGTTGTCATTGAAACATTTATGCAATAACTGAGTTTTAAGAGATGAGATAGGCAGAGAGCATAGAATGAACAAACATACAAGGCATATACCTGGATCCACCTTGTTGATACTGAGGTGGTAGTGGGGTAGACTTGTTTGTTTGGAATAAAGAGTTTATGCAGTTTTTCCTATTTCATGTTAATTGTCACATTGGGTGTTTATTAAATATACTTATTAGCAAACATCTGAATTAGAAATTTTGATCCATTAGATATAATGGGAGTGTAGGAATCAATATTTTTAAGAAGATTTCACAATTCCTAAGTTTAGGGAAATTTTGAAAGCACAGAATTGCAGAGAAAAATAATGGACAATCTAGTTGGAATGAAACAGTAGCTACCAGATTATGTGGGACTTCAAATGCCAGGTGAAGGAGCTCAGAATGTTGGCACTGAATATGAGCAGTGTTTAAGATTTGAAAGTCTGTGACTCGATCCTGGTCTCTACACTGGAAACACTGCCAATATTATGAATGTGTGTACCATAGGTTAATAGTTGTTGACAACATGTTCACATTGGAAGAACTGTCAGGGTTACCTGGACTCTGCAAAAGTATGTAGTTGCAGGAATCAGACCTTTAACTTCATAGCTCAGGCAAGGGCCAGTGTAAATCAAGTGCATTGATTCTTCAATTTGTCCCCATTCTAGTCTGTAATCAGTGATCTCGGCACCATTACATACAGGAATCTGAAAGATATAACAAACACAGAAATTGAGTTCTTCCTTTTTAAGTGTTTACTACATGAGATACTATGGAAAGTTACAACATAATCCTTTCAATGACAAAGCTTATAATTTATTAAATCATATGAGATATAGACAAGCGTAGAAATAATTAAACAAAGAAGAACACTATAACATTAAAAGGCTCACATAAAATTAAGAAAAGAGATTGGCTTAATCAATATATTAGATAAATGCCTTTAAAATTATTAAAATTATTTTCAAATGGGTTACTTAAGAAAAGTAAACTTAAGATATACTAATGTTGTTTAATATTACTATTGGCTAGTGGGATCAAAAAGAAACCCTAGGGCTGAGTCCAGTAGTAGCTCATGCTTATAATCTTAGCCCTCTGGGAGTCTGAGGCTGGAGAATTGCTTCAGCTCAGGAGTTTGAGACCACCCAGAGCAAGATTGAGAATCCATCCTTATTTAAAATAGAAAAATTAACCAAGCATGACACACACCTTTATCTCCAGTTACTTGGGAGGCTGAGGCAGGAGGATTGCTTGAACCCAGGAATCTGAGATTCTGGGTGCTAGACTGAAGCCATAGTACCCTAGCCCTGGCAGCAGAGTGAGAGTCTTGGCAAAAACCAAAATGAAACAAAGCAAAACAGGGCAGTGCCTGTGGCTCAAAGGAATAAGGCACTGGCTCTATATACCAAAGGTGGCAGGTTCGAACCTGGCCCCAGCCAAAAAGTGCAACAAAGAAACAAAGAACAACAACAAAAAAGAAACAAAAACAACAAACAAACAAACAAACAAACAACAACAAAAAAAAAACCAAGGAAACAAACCCTAGAACTCTCTGGCCTTTATGCAATGATGTGACCATCCCTGTCATTTAAGATTGACAGATCAAGGCTTTTGTTTCACTGCTAGAGTTGGGGAAAAGGGAAAGAAAAATTCATAGACATTCACCTGATTAAATAATTAGACCAGTTTTTATTTTTTGAGCTTAATTACTTTGAAGGGGAAAATATTCACATGGGTGCAAGAAATGTTTGTACATTTCTTAAAGCTTCATTACTTTAGCCATGTTTCTAATGTGTCATATTATAGTGTTACATGAAAATAAATAGGACTAGAGATTTCTCAATGACACTTTCAAGAAAATGCTAAGTTCTATTAAATGGTTTAACTTTATTATTTCTTGTTTTGATCTTAGAACGTTAATTAGTTACTTATTGATAGTCTATTTGGTTTCCCAAAATTATTATCCTCCTCAACAATAGGATCTAGAGAGCAGGATCTCTATTGCCATAATCTTCTTAATACCATTAGAATCAGGGCCTGGGTATATTGTAGAAATCATATTCCAAGGTTTGTGGGATCCGAACTCTAAACTCTGACTCCTTACAGAGTTCCAGATTTTCCAGAAAATGTCTAAGCCAATTACTATATTTTTATATTACCAAAATTAATAAAATTAAATTGATAACATACACTCCAACTAACAACAATGCAGGTTGGACCCTTGCAGGTTAGCACAGGTGTACCACATTGTGAAGGAGGGCCTGGGACTGGTTCACTTTCACATGTCATTGAATGAGATCCAAACTACAAATAAACAACAAACAAATAATCAAACACATGAATGATTGTGCAAGAATGGTCACTCCCCAACTTGACAATAAGTAGAAGCACATATTCATCCAAACTGAAATAAATTACAAATGTGATAACTGAACAATATAACTTCCCCAGTCCCCAGCCCTGGTTGCTGCTTTTCAAAAGTAACTATAGATACTTAAGGAATTAATTTACTCACTATACATCTCACTTCTGAGCCAAGATGCTCTTGTGTGTTGTCTTGGTTACCTTTTGCCTTTTTTACATATAGTGCTTCAGAGTTCCCATTAGCAAGAGAATTCTCTAGAAAAATATGCAAAATAAACTTATTTATTTATTTATTTTTGCAAATCATTTTAAGAGTGTTTCTTTAATATGATGAAGATAATTTAAGATGACTGTATGTTGAAAAAATTAAAGTAACAGAAAACTCAAAATATATTAACTTGTGTCAATTAACTTTTTAATTTACATTTAAAAATTATAGTTTCAATTACTATGTAAGAAAAAATTTGCTGAGAAATATTCAATTTTATTCTAAAATAAAATCATTTGCTGTGCTTTAATAACATTTACTATATGAAAATTAAAAGTTAAAAACAGGAAATTCAGGTCCAGTCATTAAAATCACACAAAGAAGCCTCACCACCTTGCAGGTTTATTTCTCTGGACGTTGTTTTACCATTCAAGAGTGGAGGATGGCAAGATGGAGGAGAAAGAGTAGGTGTTTGAATAATCAATATATCTGAAGGCTAAAAGAAATACATAACATCTTATGACCATACTGAATTCAAGTTCTGTTTTATCAAACATTTAATAATATGAAGAAAAAGTATCCAATGTACTCAGCCCTACTATGAAACTAATTTATAGCTTTAATATGAAAGCTATAATCCAATTATAGACCAAGAATATGGGGAAAGGGGAGGGAGAGGGGAGGGGAGGGGGGAGGATAGGTGGAGGGAGGGTGATTGGTGCGACCACACCTATAGTTCATCTTACAAGGGTACATGTGAATCTTTCTAAATGTAGAATATAAATGTCTTAACACAATAACTAAGAAAATTCCATGAAGGCTATGTTAACCAGTTTGATGAAAATATTTCAAATTGTATATAAAACCATCACACTGTACCCCATGATTGCATTAATGTACACAGCTATGATTTAATAATAAAAAAAATATGATACAGTGCATTTCAGTCCTCAGCTTAAAAACTTTCCCTCATTCTTTTCTCACCTTGCTTTGACCTATTGGTGAAGTGCAAAATACTCTCAGTTTATATGCAGTGCCAGGTTGCAAGTGATCATACATAAATTGCCTTGTATTTCCATTGTAGATTGTGTTCCAGAGATTCACTGAAGGGATACAAACAAATTTATCCAATGTATTTATAAGTAGCTTATAAAGTTATGGTTTCCCATGATTTCTCATTTAGATAATAAGAAGTAACCATTTTGGAAATTAACTTGGTCGAATGACCTATTTACCAATAGTTAAATAACGTATTCTGGTAGAATTAACCATAAAATCATAATATATCAGTAAGTAAACATGATATGTTACTAAAAACTGGACGTATCCAAGTAAGTTCTGGGGTTCAGATAGTAGTATTGTACCAATGTCAATTTCTTGGTTTTGATGTTTGCCCTATGTTTATATCAGATATTAATATTAGCAGAAGCAGAACGAAGGGTTTGTATTAGAAATCTCTGAGCTATTCCTGCAACTTCCAGATGACTCTAACATTACTTCAAAATAAAATCTTTAAAATCTAAAAAAATTATTATGCCTTACCATCTGAATTTTCACTAACTTCTAAACTGTAACTTGAAATGTATGTTCCACCATTATCTTTGGGTGGTTCTGAAAAAAAAAAATAAAATTAACTTCAAAATCTTCCAAAGAAAGTTATACTGTAAATTACCAAAAACATTTTACAGAGGGAAAAATACAAAAAGGAATATTAATAAAGACCATAAAAATCAAATTACATGCCTGTAACATTGGATATAAAACATTTAAATAATATTTTAAAATTATAAAAGACTAAAAGGCTAGGAATATATGCTATAAAGTTGATTTTTGTAGTTTAGAGGAAAAATAATTTATAAATATATATATAATTTCTTGTTAACTTGACATTTATTATTGATATGGTCTTCTGTTTGTGACTGCTAATTAGATGTAATCTTAGTTGGAATGATGATAATATTTAAAGACCCATAAATAATCAATAATTTATTCATGTGTGAATTAATGAGACAGCAATAGAAAACTCAGAGAAAACTAGAAATAGTAAATGGTTTGCAACTAAATTCTTTTATATTGTAGACTATTTCACATATAAATGATTAAGAGAATATTTTACAAAGCTGAGGCAATTAGAGGAAGATTTCTTTTCCATAGTTAATATTAAGACAAGGAAAAATGTAAATACAAAAACAGTACTTACCCCATCCAATTTTTACTTTGTGTGCATGAATTTTTCCCTTTACAAATGGTTTTCCAGGGGATCCAGGCTTATCTGGACAGGTAGTATATTTTACTTCTCCACTGGGATTGCTTCTTCCTTCCATATTATAGGCAAAGATCTGTTTGAGTAAAAGAGAATACATTGGTTGACCATTATAAATAAGTCTAATTTGAAACTGTTCATAGTTTGTAAATATAAAGCAAGCTATTTGAGTGGACTAAATACAAAATAATGTTTAATTTAAAACAAAGCCACTCAGTAGGAGGCAAGATGGTCAACTGGAGCCAGCTTTTCACAGAGGAGAGTTAAAAGACAGAAGTTTATCAAATAGGCTGATGGTTTGGAGCTGAGCCAAGAGAGAAGACTGAAGAATGCCTATCACCCTTGTTGAGGTGAGTTGCACCCCCAAGGAAATAAACAATAGGTACAAAACCCATCACCAAGCAGATGGTAGTGCCCTCCCCCATGAGAATGGCTTGCAGTGTGCTTTCTACAAACAAGCGAGCAGAGTTCAGATTTCTTCTTATTTTATCTCACAGGAGAGAGCTGCTAAAAAACAGATCTCCTTCCCCAGATAGGACCCACTTGTGAGCCTTGGCATTCTCCCACCAGGAACAAAACTGAACATATACTCTACTGCAATTCTGAACTCCTGCACTCCCCTCCACTCCCACTCCAAGGTCTGGAAGACTCCCCCATGAAGTCCAGATTCTTGGGCAATTTCTTGAGAGGTATGGGCAAAGCATGGGCTGCTTGCTACAAGTCTGTACTGAATCAGCAGCATGGTGTAAAGTGGGGACTGTGGAGTGAGGGAGCCAAATGGGAGAAGGAGAAACAGTGCCCCTCGGCAGATCCTGGTGGCAGTGGCAGTGGCAGCAACAATAGGGCTCACAACCCTGGTGATATTTTGGAGAAACACTTCCTGTGTATCTTAGCAACCAGATGGAACTGGGCCTCTAACCCAGGGGCAACTACAGGTGGAAAAGTTCTGGGACAGAAACACAGGCCCCATGAGCAAAGGTTATGCCTGAAGTGGCAACTGCCCAGGTGAGGCATAGCAGGGACTGAGACAAATACGAGTCCTCGGAGGTGGCATACTTCCAGGGTGGGATTGAGTCAGAATTGCTGCTTTTGTGAGCCTAAGATGCACCTGGCACCCAGTAGAGCATATCTGGTACAAGAGCATGCACGGCAGGACATCATCCCCAGGTGGGGCAGGAACTGAGAGCACTTTGTGAGCTCTCATAGTGCCTGCTCCAAAACAGAGCCCAGTGGAGACAGAGATGACAGCTCTGTGAGAATTGGTACAGTGGTGGTGGCACAAGGCGGGGCTGAGTCACAGCGTCTGTGAACTCAAAATGTGCCTGGCCTGCAGTGAAACACAGCCTAGACAGAAACACAAATTCTGTGAGAATAAAACTGACAGCAGCATCAGTCTGGGGTGGGGTTGGGACTGAGTGACACTCCCCAGTTTCCATTGAGCACCCGAGATAGTCAGGCTTCAGCTCCCCTTGCCAGCTGGTGGCAGACAGCGGAAACCTGGTTGAGGAGACATTGATCTCCTTGTGACTCTAGCCAGCACAAAACCCTGTCATATTTGCTCATTGGAGGGAGCTGGGCCACAGCCCTGTGAGGTTATGGGTGACTGGGTGTGATGGAGGTGCAGATGGGGAAGGAGTCATCAATCTCCTCAGACTAACTCATTTGCTGGGTAGGCCTTTCTGATTCCATGGAGCACTGCAGTGAGCCACACTCGAGCTGCCAGAATATACCTTCAATCCAGTTGCTGGAGACCTGTTGATCTCTCTCACTTGATCTGTGTTTGTGTTGACTGGGACATTTGTTTAGAAACTCTTGACCTGGGCCAATCCCCTGAGGAACCTCCAAGGTGGCACCCTGATTGTGTTGTAGTGGGAAGGTTTGATTTTCCTATTGCAATTCTTGCCCATGGAGGGCAGGGTGTCCTAGTTGCTTGTATTTCCACACAGCTGAGACTTCAACCCAGAGTCAGTGATTCACTAGGATGGGACAAAGACCAGCTGAATATAAGACAGAGCCAACTAGCCCCATCACAACAAGCAGGTCCCCAGAGTCTCAGGCTATAGTACTGTACAAATCCTTTGCAAAGCTATAGGGGAAAAGCTGAAGTCACCAGTCCCAGCTCTTTAATAAAGGGCTGGATAATCACAACTCCAGGAGCCTCCAATCAAATTTCACTTTACCTGCTCATCTAGCCAAATGGTGAAAAATAATCTTGGGGCAAAATCAGCGGAAAAACTCTGGCAATGTGAATACTCAGAGTAGATCAACTCCCCCTAGGAATGACAAAGCAAACATACCAGAAGATCCCATTCATAAACAAATGGCTGAGAAGTCAGAAATAGAGTTCAGAATTTGGATGGCAAATAAGATTAACAGAATGGAAGTAAAGCAGGAATTAGAAATTCTAGGAATAACTCAAAAGTTGTCTCAAGAATTCAATGACAAAATCATCAAAGATTTTGAGACATTGAGAAAAGAATTTGCAGGCCTCCAAGAAATACAGTACAATACCTCAGTAACAGAATGAAGCAGGCAGGAAAAAGGATTTCTGACATTGAAGTGTTTGGGAGCATTTGAACACTCCCAAACGCTCAACGAGGAAGAGAAGTGGAGAGCAAAAATGGATCATTCTCTCAGAGAGTTGTGGGACAACTCCAAAAAAGCAAACATTTCCCTTATAGGAATTCCTGAAGGTGACAAGGTTGTTCCAAAAGGCTCAGATGCTCTACTCCAAGAGATAATTGGGGAGAACTTCCCAAACATTGTAAGAGATACTGAAATTCAGATAGCAGAGAGTTTTAGAACCCCAGCACAACTCAATCCAAATAAAGCATCTCCCAGACACATAATTAACTTTGCCAAAGTTAATATGAAGGAGAAAATTCTGCAAGCAGCCATACATAAGTAAACCATAACCTACTTGGGTAAGAATATTAGAATGACTGCACGACTCTCAGCTGAAACTTTTCAAGTGAAAAGAGGAAGGTCATTGACCTTCAACTTCCTAAAACAAAACAACTTTCAATCTAGGATCCTGTATCCAGCTAAACTGAGTTTGAATTATCATGGAGAAAAAATACTTTAATGACATTCACATGTTGAAATTTGCCATAACTAAACCAACTCTCCAGGATATTCTCAGACCCGTCCTCCACAACGACCAGCACAATGCTTTACCACCAAAGTAAACTCACTCAGAAACTTTTGATCAAATTCTAACTTCTACAGTGGCAAAAAGTGTAAAAATGTCCCCTGGACTTTCAAAAAACTTGATACCAAAAATACTACCAGGCTTATAAATACTCTCAATTAAGGTCAATGGCTTAAATTGGACTCTAAAGAGGCACAGGTTGGCTGACTGGATACAAAAACTCAGGCCAGATATCTGCTGCATACCAGAATCTCATCTTACCTTAAAAGATAAATATAGATTCAGGGTGAAGGGATGGACATCTATAATTCAGGCAAATGGAAATTAGAAAAAAGCAGGTGATGCAATTTTATTTGGCTTTAAACCAACAAAAGTAAGGAATGATAAGGATAGTCACTTCATATTTATTAAGGGAAACACTGAACATGATGAGATTTCAATTATTAACATCTATGTGCCCAACCAGAATGCTCCTCCATTTATAAGGGAGATGCTAACAGACGAACAATTTGATATCCTGCAGCACTATGATAGTTTGAGATTTTAACACCCATTTTGCAGTGTTCAATAGATCCTCCAATAAGAAACTAAGCAAATAAATTTTAGACTTAAACTTAATCATTCAACAATTGTATTTAACAGACATCTACAGAACATTTCATCCTAAAAAAACTGAATACACATTCTTCTCATCATCCCATGGAGCATCCTCCAAAATTGATCACATCTTAGGTCACAAGTCTAACCTTAGCAAATTTAAAAGAATATAAATTATTCCTTGTATCTTCTCGGACTATCATGGAATAGAAGTTGAACTCATTAACAACAGGAATGTGCATACTCATACAAAAACACGGAAACAAAATAACCTTATGCTGAATGATAGCAACATAATAGGTAATATTAAGAAAGAAATCACCTAATTTTTGGAACAAAACAATAATGAAGACATGCACTACCAAAACCTCTGGGATACTGGAAAGGCAGTCCTAAGAGGGAAATTTATAGCGTTGCAAGCCTTCTTCAAGAGAACAAAAGAGAGGAAGTCAACAACTTAATGGAACATCTCAAGCAACTGGAAAAGGAAGAACATTCCAACCCCAATCCTAGCAGAAGAAAAGACATATCTAAAATTAGAGAAGAATTAAATGAAATTGAGAACAAAGAATTAAACAACAGATCAATGAATCAAAACATTGATTTTTGAAAAGGTCAATAAAATATATAAACCTTTGGTTAACCAAAACTGAAGTAAGAGTAAAATCTCTAATTTCATCAATCAGAAATGACAGAGGTAAGTTAACAACAGACTCCTCAGAAATTCAAAAAATTCTTAATGAATACTACCAAAAACTCAGAAATATGAAAATATGAAGGAAAGAGACCAATACTTGGAAGCACACCATCTTCCTAGACTTAGCCAGAAAGAAGTGTAAATGTTGAACAGGCCTATATCAAGTCTTGAAATTTCATCAACTATATAAAATCTCCCCCCCAACAAAGTGTGGTACCAGATGGCTTCATATGGGAATTCTACCAAACCTTTAAAGATGAATTAGTACCTATATTATTTAACCTTTTCCAAAATATAGAAAAGGAAGGAATACTTCCCAACACATTTTATGAAGCAAATATCACTCTGTTCCCCAAACCAGGAAAAGACCCAACAAGAAAAGAAAAATATAGACCAATACCTCTAATGAATATTGATGCAAAAATATTCAATAAGATCCTAGAAAACAGAATCCAGCAACACATCAAATTATACACCATGACCATGTGGTTTTATCCTAGGGTCTCAAAGCTGGTTCAACATACATAAATCTATAAATATAATACATCACATAAACAAAATAAAAAACAAAGAGCATATGATTCTCTCAATTGATGTAGAAAAAGCTTTTGATAATATCCAGCATCC